TCGAATTAAGGGGCTACACACCCCTTAATTCGAACTAGCTAGTTCGAACTAGGCGTTAGTCCTCGTAAAATGAGGTTTACCTAGTTCGAACTAAGCGCTCCACTAGTTCAAATTAAGTTCGAACTAACGCAGCGCTAGTGTAGCGCCTAGGAATGTTAGTTCGAACTAATGCCCCACACTGGCTTCCCAGAGACTGCCCTGCACCCCACTGCTCTGACCCCTCCCTGCGCCCCACTGCTCTGACCCCTCCCAGAGACTGCCCTTCCCCCACTGCTCTGACCCCTCCCTGCGCCCCACTGCCCTGACCCCTCCCTGCGCCCCACTGCCCTGACCCTTCCCAGAGACTGCCCTGCGCCCCACTGCCCTGACCCCTCCCTGCGCCCCACTGCCCTGACCCTTCCCAGAGACTGCTCTGATCCCTCCCTGCTCCCCACTGTACTGACCCTTCCCAGAGATTGCCCTTCCCCCACTGCTCTGACCCCTCCCTGCACCCCACGCTGGCTTCCCAGGGAACTGGGCGTTAAGACAAAGGCCTTGGGCCTTATTTACAAAGTCTCAGTGGCTCAGGCCCAGCGTCCCTGGTCCCCAATCGCACTTCTCAGCGCTAATGGACTCTCTCCCCGGGGTGCAGTGCGAATGGGCACAGGCGGCAGGTTTCCTGGGCCGGAGGGGGCTCCCCCTCAGGGGCTAAGCACCAGCCCAAGCTCCCCCCTCCGGTTCTCTAGCTCGCCGCTGCAGACAGAGCCTCACAGGGCAGTGCAGACTCAGCAAGGCCCACACCCTGCACGCCCCGCCCTCGCCCGGGCACAGGCCTTCGTGCTCAGGTGGAGGGGCGGGGGAAGCCAAGCCCCACCCAACCCCGCCCCTTCTGCCCAGGCCCCGCCCCCGGGAGCCAAGCCTCCCCAGGAGTATGGGGTGGCGGGCGGGCGCTGGGGCCTACACCACTCTGCCCTGGTTCTCCTTCCGTACGTGTTCTGGGAGCGGCGTGCGGGCGGAGCCAGGCCTGGCACTTTGGGAAGGCAGAGCCTCCCCTGTGAAGGCGCCAGGCTCACTGCCGGAGAGAAGAGACTGCTTCAGGGCCGACAAACCTCACCTGGAGCACCCCTGTCACTTACCCCATGGCGACGGCCCAAGTCCTCTGATTTATGGCCCACGGGCTGGAGTCTATATTCAGAACCCAGCTCTCCCACACGTGGCAGAGCCCATCCAGGGGTCCCTGCGGGAGTGACTCTGGACAGCACCGTGCCGATCTGCTATCTGCTCAGCCCCTTACAGCCACATCCAGAATCGGGGCCGTGTCTGGGAGCTATTGCATCTTCTGCATCGCTCCCTTCCACCGCCTCCGCGTGGGTCTCTGCATTGCTCCTTCCGCCCCCCTTAAGGCCACGCCATTAGCAAGTGGCCGACGCGCTCCACGTCTAGCGTGTGAAAAGCTCCACGGAGCCTTAGTGCCAGCACAACGTGACCCCGTTCCGGGGGCCCCGTGACCCCCACTAAGCAGGAGAGAAGGGGTCCACGGGCCCATTTGACAGCAGGCCAGTCACCAGCACAGCGTGGCAGCCGGAGCACAGCTGGCCTCTGGCAGGCTGCAAACAGCCCACAGGTGCTGGAACGAGGGATGGGGGCTGCTGCTCCCCAACTTGAAATGCTTCCCCATCTGCAGGGCTTACAGTTTGGTTCAATAGCTCTCAGCACCTCCCCCCCC